CTCAGCCTTTCCACCCTGAGATGAACAAAGCTTTCTCACACATCCAGTTTGTAGTGTGATTGGCTTTCAGGTTTATTATCAGCTTATACCATTTGTGACTGCATAGGTAGCAATCACCACAAGACTGTCAGGCAGGGCAAAACCACAACAACTAAATGTGTTAGAAATACATGTGATCATCTGCAACAGGAGTGATTTCCTTTGAAAACAGGGGATTAAAGTGAATAGGAAGTTGATGACCCACTCACTTGTTCCACGCGTAATTTTTTTTTTTTTTTTTATCTCCTTTTTTCCAAATAACTTGCTGCTCCTAGGACATCATTTTTTGTTTTTATATATTTCATTTTTTTAAATTGAATGATGGTCACTGACACTACAGACTGGATGTGTGGGGTAGCTTTGTTCTTGTTAGTGTGGTAAGTGGAGGTAAATTTCCCACTTTTTCCTTTCCTTGTTTGATAAATTCTCTATTTTTAACTTGAAATGACACATGTTCCCCATTTTTCATAATTCAAGATAGCAAAAGGAGAAAAGATAGCAATAAATCAATCAATAAACATTTTCTCACATCCTATTTTGAATTAATCCAGATATATATTAATTTGAACTAAGTTTGTTAACTCAGACTTTCAGAATTCTAGAAATGTATTTACTTATAAAATATTTTACCAGCAAAGATACATTGAGATTTCTCTCATTTTTAAGCATGTCCTGGGTCCGCAAAATATTACATTGATACGATAGGGTACAAAAACAATATTAATACACACTATATACAAAATTTAACATAGAACAGGTAGGAAATATATAATCAACCATAACACGTGCATTCTGTTTTGACGTATGTAGAGACTTTAGGCCTGGAGAAGATTTTAAAGTGTGCGGCAGGTCGTTCCATAATTGCGGTGCTCTGTAGGAAAAGGGGGATCGGGCTGCTTTCTTTTTGTATTGAGGTAGACTAAATAAAGTGCAGGTACTGGATCGGAGGTTAAAGGAGGTGGGAACAGTTGAGGAGAGCATTCTGCTCAGGTAGGGTGCGAGCTTCCCAGAAAAGCTCTTAAACACAAGACTGGAAAGATGAAGGGTCTGACCTTTCGGTCTGGGAGGTACCTCACAGGTGGTCCGGCAAGCCAGTCCAAGTAGACCGTACAGCAAGATGTCCTATATTGATGAAGAGTCGCGTCCGGGTCCCAACACGTGGAAAACGAGAAAGATCTCTTCAGATAGTTCTGATATTCCTGAATGTCCTCAATTCCTCCCAACCTGCCAACCAGGTTGTATTGTCGCCTAAATGACTGATGCACAAGATATTGTGATCTTTGTCTGCAGTTAGCACGGTCCTTTTGGGTACAAACATGCACAGTCTTTAAAAGTAAATTAATTCCAGGCACTTTATTTTTAAATCCAGACAGGAGACAGCAGTAAATGAAAAAACAATAATGTAACAAAATCCCTATAAACAAAAACCTAGCTCATCTGAGCACTAACTAACTTCAGATTCCCTATCTCTCAGGGGTTAAACTATAACAAAATAATACTGGTTTCACCAACCTAGTGTCTTTGTTAGCTCTCGGCACTCCACACTCGGTTAGCATGTGGCTTCCATTCCTTCTAGAAATAAACAGAATTCTCTCTCTTTTCCGCACTCCCAGTGCTCCAAGCCAGCCTTGATTGCTTTCCTTTTGCACTCCCAGTGCTCAGTCTCATTGACTCTCTCACTGAATAGAACAGCCTCTCTCCTACCTGCTTCCAAGGAGGAAGCCAGCAATCCCCCCTCTTTACCTGCATAGCAGGAAGGGGTTTATTCCCACTGCTACAGCTAATTATCTGCAGCTGAGCAGTGGGTTGGAGACAGATCCAAAAAAACTCTGGCCCGGTCCTTATTTCTCCCAGTTGTGTATAAACTGCGGACTGGAGCTTTGGCCCACCCTGCTCTCCAAATGCTTCACCCAAGGGGCCCATAACTAAACCTAGCTTTGTGTTGCACACCACACATACAACACGTACTTCCCCTGGGGTTAAATGTTAAAGGCCTCTCTACCTTCACGTTATCACAATACCTATCTCACCAGGGAGAAAATAGAGGCCACCTTACCAGAACTGGGCCTCGCGGTCCCTAGAAGTTTCTTGAGGGCCACTTCTAATTCAAAGTAACTAATGAATATACGTTCAATCGTAGACTCGTGCCGGGACTCTGAGGGGCTCAGATCCCTTTATCCCAAGCACCTCCAGCAGTTCAAATTGCGTTTAGGATAGTGTCGTCTGCCACCCCAGACTCGGGCCCCCGTCTGGGATGTCATCCGAAAGTGGAGGCAAGTGTGAAATTCCGGGTCAAAGGTCCAATCCCCTATAAAAGGTACGGGTTGGAGCTGAGATAAGCCTCCATCAAGTATTTCCATGTAAAAAAGGACACATCTTATACTTCCTCATATGTTCCCGCAAGCACAACTCACTCGTGTAGCGGAGAACAATCGGCTTGCAAGTGCAGACTTAATAGTATAGGCACTGCAGTGGGCCGCACTCAGGATCTCCTGAATACTAGACAGGTGCTTAACCAGCAAAACCTGAGTGCCCCATCGGGGTCTAAGTCTGGGTTTGCCACTACTTTGTTCACGAGCCCGGCTGGGAATACCGCTCAAATTATCTTGCGGGCTTCTCAAGCCAGCGGTCTATGCACCGATGGTGCTAGGTGATCGGGCAGAGACCATTCCAAATAAACCAGGTGAGCAATGGATTGAGGGTCGAACAGGGGTTTGTTTAAGGCAATCCACGAGACGACCTCTTCTTCCACGGTCGTCGGGGCCCCTGTAGTGGACTTTGTTCTACATCTCATGCTGCCACTAGGGGCCATCATCATAATCCACACCCCCTTCGTCCTATCCCTCCAAGGGCAACCGGTCCTTCCGCCATTCAGCTAGGGCGGCTATGGTGGAGGGGGGGTTATGGCGACTTTCACCCTTGCGCCACGTAGGCAGTGTCGTCTGGCCATCAAGGTCGTATCAGTATACTTCTCCGGTGTCTAATCTTTCCGGGCGCCTGGTTCCGGGCCTTCCCCCTACCCATAGTGCTTATGTGCCCTTGCCTGCTTTCCACTCGGAGAGTCTGACTCCTTCAAGTCGTCTGCCTTTTTAAGAAGGTGGTCACTGCCGCGTCCGTTGGTCATCGCCTTCCCCGCGCCATATAGGCAGGGCCGTTTGGCCGATTGCAAAGGGGTTAGCCGCTCCTCAGAGTCTTATCTTTCCGGGAGCCTGGTTCAGGGCATTCACCCTTCCAGTAGCGCTCATGCGCACTTGCCTGCTCTCTTCAAGGAGAGTCTGACTCATTCAAGTCACTGGTTCAGGGCCTTCACCCTTCCAGTAGCGCTCATGTGCCCTTGCCTGCTCTCCTCTAGGAGAGTCTGACTCATTCAAGTCGCCTGCCGTTTTAAAGGTGGACCCTCTAGCGTTACGCTCCTGATAAGCTTAAGGGAGGACACTGGCTGAAGCCTAATTCCACGGAGGCAGTCACTGCCATAGTAGTCATTGTCTGTGCTGTTAACCCGGATAAGGGTTCTCCTGTGCAGCAGTCCCAGGCAAAGCAACCTCAAGGAGTATAGAGGACAAGTGTCACCGGCAGGGAGATAGGGGCAGCACCCCATATAGTGACCGAGGCAAGTTGGGCAGTGCATGCAATGCACAAGCATGAGTATGTGGCAGTAGGCTTGGCATGCAGACATTCTGGCACAGACAGCACAGGCCAGATCATTGGGGCACAGACAAAGCAGGCCAATCAATGGGGCACAGACAAAGCAGGTCAATCAATGGGGCACAGGCAGACCAGGCCAATCAGTACAAAGCCGGCCAAGTCCTGGGGCAGAGACAAGTCAGGACCTTCAGAGATGTACAGGTGAGGAACTGCGCATTCCATTCTTCCGATAAAATGTACCTTTCACTCTTCAGATAAGATGTACATAACACTTCTTCAGATTAATAGCACATAACACACTTCTGTGTAACTGTAATTAACACTCTTCTGTGTAACTGTACGTAACCTTCTTCTGTGTAACTGTACATAACACTCTTCTGTGCAGCCGTACATAACATCCTTCTGTGTAAACATACAATACGTTCTTCTGTGTAACTGTACATAACACTCTTCTGTGCAGCCGTACATAACATCCTTCTGTGTAAACATACAATACGTTCTTCTGTGTAACTGTACCTAACGCTCTTCTGTGTAACTGTACGTAACACTCTTCCGTGTAACTGTACATAACACTTCCGTGTAACTGTACGTACATTCTTCTGTGTATTTGTACATAACATATTCTGTGTAACTGTACATAACATTCTTCTGTGTAACTGTACATAGTATATTACTGTGTAACTGTACATAACATTCTTCTGTGTAACTATACATAGCATTCTTCTGTGTAACTGTACATAGTATATTACTGTGTAACAGTAGATAGCATTCTTTAGTGTGACTGTACCTAGCATTCCATTGTGTAACTGTAGATAACGCACTTCAGTCAAATAGTGCCTGACACTCCGTAAATAGTGAACTTGCATATTGAGTACACCTGTAGTCAGGGAACTCACCAACTGAGTTACCTCACAAGAGGTGCTCCATTGGTCAATATGATAAAACAGAGCGCTGCACGCAATCAACTGAACAAAACAAAAAGGGGGGGGGATGAGTATAAGTGGTAACACTGCCAGTTGTGCCTGTAACCCTTGAGGGGTTGTGCACATCTCTATATAGCATGCCTGTGATCTATATCATCCACTATGGTTTCAAGTAGCCTAACCTGCCAGCCACATGGGGCACAAAGCCAGGACAGCCTGAGGGTGCATAGCTGAGTCCCAGTCAAAGCTACAGCACATGTGCCTGCCATCGACGGAGCTAATGCAGTAAGTCTGGTAACTGGCCGGTCCCGCCCCCACCCGACCACGCGGTCGCATGGTAGTGGATGCTCGGGGCCGCCGCACTGCATGGGAAGGTAACCACCCCCCCCACCCATGCCGCGGGAGCAGTTATACCGCAAGCAGAAGCGTGGGTCAGGTGGGGGTGGAAGCAGAGGATCTTGCTCGGCGGACGGGATCCAACACGTGGGACCCCCGGAGTCTTACTCCGGGGTCCCGGCGGTCGGCAACGGAAAGCGGTCGGAGGACTGCTTTACGGCGGCCGCAAAATGGACGAAAAGTGAAGGGGGCAAAGCCACCCAGAAAAGGTAGAGGGAGGGAGGGAAAAAAGGAAACCCCCCCAAACCCAAGAAAAAAACGATCCCCAGACAGGGGGGACCAAAACAGGGAAAAGCAGAAAAAACATAAGAGAAAATACATCCCTACAGCAAAAAAGTAGGGACAGAGAAATACAATCTAAATAAATAAATCATAATTGCAGTAGGAAGGTAAACACATTCTAAACAAATATATCCCTGCAGCCATAAGAAAGCAGATGCAGAAAAACAGAGTAAATAAATCAATCAAGCAATCACTACAGCACTAAGCAGGAAGGTGTAGAAAATACAGTATAGCTAAATAAATCATTCCCTACAGCACTAAGTAGGTAGATGCAGAAAATACCCACTAAACAAATAAATCAATACAGTAATAAATATATAAATACAGTAAAATATCCACAACCACCCATATATAACAGGAGGCAGTGGTACTCTGACCTGTACTGACTGCGGAGCAGCAAAGAAAGAGGAAATAGTTAGTTGGGAGAAGCCTTTTATAGATTCATGATTTTTTTGTCTCTGGTGTTTTTATCTCTACGTTAATGTGCTGCTGTGGAGTTCTAGTAAAGAGAGACTTAAGCAAATATGAAGCCTCCTGTCATGCTATAAAATTGTGTAATTTGTGTAATTTAGGTACTGACACTATTGCAGCCATTTTTGGATGCCAGCACAGTCATATGCAACATTTTCCCTGTTATTCTGTTTTTTCTAAAGGCCTTGTCGCATTTTTTTGGTACAATCATTTTTTTGTCAAAATGTTTTATGAAGTATATGTTTTTTCAGTCCTGCAGAAATCTGGTTACTATGCTGAACATAGAAAATACAGACACCAATATATTTCACAAATGTGAGACAGTATTATTTACTCTTTATTTTCTCTTTTTTTTTCCTTGTTGATAAAAGGCTCTAATCTAAACCACGATTATTTCATTATGCTATACCAATGGCAATAGAAGCACACTCGCAATGTATTTCAGAAGGATGTTCCTTAGAGTGCATCAGCTGTTAGGAATCGTTAATAGCCATTTAAGTGTTTGACCATTAGCATTTGTTAATGGATATTATAATTTAATAGCTAGACATTGCATTTTTTTTTATTTACTGGAAAATGTCTCTAATCCTTATGCAAAAATTTTATTTTCTTCTCTTTTTTTATTTCTTAATGCTTTTATTATTTTTAACTTGTGTTACAAAACAATATAAAACATTTATATATAATTTTAAAAAAAACTAATGATAGTGTGCAGAGTGCCCACAGACCACCTAAAAGATCTTTCAAAATATATGACAGAATTTACTCAATGTTAGAACAAATCTATTAAATAATAGTTTCAGTGTGCTTGCTGATGGATATTACTTTTGGACTCAGTGTAAACTATTCAGAACTAATTATTTTCTACTCATCTGCTCTGTGCCTTACTCTTGGAAGGGTTTAATTCACTGCAGGTTACTCTTAAATCTACTTTCATGCCAAATAGAGAAATTCTAGATAGCATGTTCCTTTTTGTTCATCAATACAGTCTTATCACTAGCAAACAAAGAAGAAATTGGTGTCAATTGAGCATTAAACATCTTACTTCTCTAGTGGATTGAGTTGGTTTCCTCATATCCTTCGGCCAAGGAACTGCCATGCCCGAGGAGTGGATTGTGAAAAGAGGAAATTACAATGGTTGGTCATGAAGTGATCTGGAAAGAAACGTATTTTGGGAAGTGAGTAATGGAAATGTAATTGGATGTACATTGAGAATACACTGATTGATAGGATTGTGTCTGTGCTGGACAGAACGAAGAATAAAGGAGAGAGCGTCATGAAGAGATAAAAACTACAGTCTAGACACACTTGATCACATTTACAGTACATAGCAATGCGCAAAAGTATTTTTGTACTGGAAATATATGGACAATAAGGCAATGTATTTTGTAATCAATTTAAGATAAACAGTACATAGATTAGGCACACTAACTTTTTAAATTGAACTTTTATTCTATTTTTCAGTTTATGGAGAAATTACAATTAATTTATACAGCCATCTCACATGTATATGGGTATATTTTCAAAAGTGTTTTAGGAACCTGGTGCCGGGACATGCATACCCTTGAAACACTCAGATTATATGGAAAAACAGATCAAAAACAGTGGAAGAAAGGAACTGGAGCAAGAAAGTAGTGGTGTCCAAAGTTAGAGTTAACATTTGCAGGAAGCGGTTTAGGTATAGGGTATATCAGAATATGCAGTGTCCGAAGATCATGGGAATTTATTTTGTGGACCTGTGGCATGGAGTATATGCATTGCCTATCAAAGAAAAAGGAACAAAGCAGGCATCATTGCAGGACACCTGTACAATTGTTATGTCTGAATGCACAGGGGCACATATACATGCAATATAACATGTGGATGTGGAAGGTGTGGGCAAAGCTGCATAAATACTCAGAGGTTGTTCCCTCACAGGTACAACCAGTCTCAATAATACATAAACACATGTGAAAGAAGAAAAAAAATACATAATGGTGTAACCTGTTACGTTAATAAAGAATACAAATGTGTTGTATTGTAAGTGTATTGCAAGTCGAAGTGTGCAGGTGACTTACAGACTATAGAGCCCACCCTAACACTAAGTAATGCATATGGTGGCAGATCCCTTTCAGGTTGCTGCATTTCCTTTCATGGAAAACATTGTAAAAAAGAAAAAACCTTTCATGGCAAAGCTATAAAAAACTAAATTATCATGGTTAAAGAAAATGGCAACCCAATGTCCACATTCAGTCCATGGGTATATGTGTCCCTAATTTGTATATCAAGCACATTTCCTGCTGGCCCAATTATTTTTTACTTTCTTGAAAGCCATAAAAGTAAGTAACTTAGAGGTACTTTTATTCTTTTCTTTAACAGGAACATTATGGTAAGAAAATTGGTTTTACATGTTTCTAACGTGTTCTTCTGCATGAGTGTGGAGCGCTCAAGTGGTTCTTCCTGTGTAAAAAAGTTTACAAGGAGAAACTAAGGCACATATAACATTATTAGAATGGCAGTAGTTAAATCCCTGATTATGTATATATATATATATTCTATCACCATGGTTGAATTCACTTACTGTATTTTTCTTGGTACTGGTGTCTACATGGTCTCTACATGCTAGAGAGGTGCCTCAATGATGGAAGCCCTTATCAATGTTTAAAACAATATTTAAAACATGTTCAGGTTTTCTCTTGTTGCCTGTATTATTAAAAGCCAACTTCAAGTTCTTAGTACCTCGAAAAATAAATCTGGGGTTTGATGGGACAAAATATTTCAGGGGTTCATTCTGCTATAAAATAAACCAATTTTTCTTAATAACATTCTTTACTGCCCTGCCATACCCTGAATGATCCAAAATCAAGGGTAAGGTAGGTGTTAAAAACATTGTTCTATCTTTCTTAAGGGAAGGAAGGGCCTCATAAACATCTGTAAGGGTAACCCTTCTCCAAGAAGTTCCCTTTTGTGTATTTCTGCCTGTAAAATAAAATCTTCATTGCATGTGCAGTTCCACTTTAATCATGTTCTTCAACCATGGGAATTTGAAAAATTGATTAAACCATTTACATGAACTGGTTTTGAAAAGAGTTGGTCCAGCATAAAATGTGCTAGATCAGGCTTCCCCAAACTCTGGCCCTTCAGATGTTGCTAAACTACAACTCCCATGATTCTATGAATGAAATAGATATGCTGAGAATCATGGGAGTTGTAGTTCAGCAACATCTGGAGGGCCGGAGTTTGGGGAAGCCTGTGCTAGATATACAAATAAGGGACACTTCTACCCAATGGATTGAATGCAGAAAATGAGTTATGTGATTTTCTTTAATCTTTTTCATATGTTTTCAATGAAAGGTTGTTCGTTTTTTCTTTGTAGTATAAGCACATGAAGAGTTGTGTCCTGCTCTGCAATCCTTTGTATCTTCAAATATGGAAGCAATGTATATTTCTTACATAGTTTTATATCCTATCCTTGATAGGTCTTGGTTACTATAACTAACGGCGGTAGAAAAACATGTTTTAATTGTAAATTTAATTCTCTTCTATTATATGTCATTCTGTTATGACCAGTATATAGCTGAGGTAAGGGCTACTGCAGTACCCAGAGAAAATCAAAATGCAAACTTTTCCCATTGTCCTGCTGACACCTGCCTCTGCAGCTCCAAGCAGGGTAAGGTAATCCACAAAAACAGAAAAAAAAAGGGCAGTGGAAACAATTAGCTTTAGTCCTTGTAAATAAATCTTTTTGTAGCACTTGGTGTGCACATTTGCAGTTGTTTGCGCTGCCCTAATTTTTTTCTATTTTTGTAGATATGTCATTCTGTGTAATTAAACATCCCATAATACTGGCATTTTCTATATATGTCCATCTTCCAACCGGACAACTAATGACGCATCTCTCTTATGGTAGGGCCTTTGTCATAGGGGAGTATATATTCTTCTTGCAGGAGGCTGTAGTATAGCTCATCAATCTGAAGAAGCAATTATTGTGAAATGTTTCATGGTCGGCAGCACAGAGGCGGAGCTCCTTTTCATTAGACAAGTGGAACACAACATCCATGGGTCTTGAACATTCCCTTACTCTGGACTTGCTGATTGGTTCAGGTACCTTTTTTGTTTGAACATTTACCCTGGGACTTGGGACTTTTGATATCTCTGTGGCTGTTCATTTATCCTCTGCCGCCTTTCTTTTATTCATTTAGTTGATTTTGTTGTTAAGTTTTATCTCTTTTTTTCTAATATATATTTATATATTTTTCATCACAATTTTGTGCCACTTACATTACCTCCCCTGGTGCCTAGAATCTCCTGTGGGGACTTGAATGCATCAACCTGAAAGGGATCTGTCACTATATCCATTGCTGAATGTTGTACATAGAGCCAGGGGTGTATTTACCTCAAGGCTGACAAGGCATTTGCCTTGGGCGTAATATAAAAATATATAGAAATGGTGTAATACATAAACAGAAGGGGGGGAGGTAGCTCCACACAATCACCAGCGACTATTACTGAGTATAAGCTCAGTAACCCAATCAACAAAAACTAAAATGATTATAATTACAAATAAACCAGTGTTTATTCGGTAGAAACAGATAAAAAATAATAATAAACAAAATATCAAAAATTGTCTGAACCTGTTATAAAGACAATTAAAAACAGTATCTCTATCAATAAACAAATGTAGCCACACAGCTTATGACTAATGAAAAGAGTAAGAGACATACACCCAGACTCTATGTGAAAAGCAACAATGTGCTTCCCCACCCTAAACCTAGACACAAATACCAATGAGGATACACTGTAATAGAAAAGTTATATAAAAAGTACCTGTCCTCGGTGTGGGCCCCCACCAAGGTAAGAATGAAAAAAGCAAAAAGTATAAAAATGAAACTTGAAATAGGTGCGGCACACTCTGTATCCTTCGAAGTGGTTAACTGATGCACCGCGGTCGGGATCTTCAAAAAAGACTGCTGTGAAAATTGGAAATATTCCCCGCCACGGCTAGTTGTAATATCAATGGCAATATCCAGCGAGCTTAACCAAACGAAGGGGAAACCGCCAAAATACAAAAATACTTCCTGCTTTCACTCCCAAAGTAGCAATCAATAACGGCAGGTCCAAAACTCAGCCTGTCTACGCATTTCGTCCCTCCCACGGGACTTTATCAAGACTGAAGGTGATCTGTGAACAACCCGGTATAAATACCCCACACAGCAGGGAAACCACGGCAAAGAAACCCCGGGCTGGATTCACAACAATATTCAAACACAAAATATAAAAATACATACTTATCAAATTAAATAAAAACAATTAGTAAATATATATATATATATAATGTAATGTAATATAAGATATACACAACATCTTAATATAAATGGTCAGGCAACAAACATATATAAAAAATATATAAAAAATACATATATACACAAAAGATTGGCAAGATAGTTATTACTGCTATATCAAGGAAAAAAAAACCTTAAGTCTCCAGAAATTAGCAAATAGATGAAGAGCCCACATTTGCTGTGTCTATAGCCTTTAAAACAACTCTAACTCCTCGTTAAGGCCATTAGGAGTCATAGAATTAAGCTTAAAAATCCACATGGATTCAGCCTTAGTAAGCTCCCTCCTCCGCTTAGCTTCATCCTGATGGGGGGGGGGATATGTACTATTCCCACTAACTTAAGACCAACAGGATTATTCTCATGAAAGATAGCAAAATGTCGGGCCACCAAAGATCTACCATCGTTACGTATAATAGCTGTTCTGTGTTCCCGAAATGTACATTTTAAAGACCTGATGGTTTGGCCCACATAGTGCCGTTCACAGGGACAGATAAGAAGGTATACCACAAAAGAGGTATTACAAGTGATGGGGGATTGTACAGAAAAAATCTCAGTGCTATTAAACGGACTGAAAGTGGAGATGTGAGGGCAAATAAAACCACATGTGAGACATTTGGTGTGACCACAATGTTTATTAGCCAAATCACCTTCAACAGCTGTCTGATGGCTTGCAGTTTGACAGCGTAATTTTGAAGGGGCTAAAATATTTTTCAAGTTTGGTGCCCTTCTAAAAGTGACCCTTGGGACTCTTGACACACAGAATGACTGTAGCGGAACGCCAATAATAAATCCACGAATTCCGCTGGTTCAGAAACGAATCCACAGTCAAGCGCTGAAACAACAAGGCAATATCCCCAACCTCCCAATAACCGGACGAGACACAGTTTTGGGAGTCAACTGAAATCCTTTTAATCGGCTGGACAATTTATACAAGTCCCCATGCAAGGGGTTTCCTGAGTCCCTCCCCAGGGGCACTCCCAGAGGGGACTACATGGGGGACTTACATGACAACATATTTCTCCCATCAGGCACCGCTGCACGAGAGGGATCATCCTCCCAGAATGCACCGTTAAGGGGATTATCCCCTCGTGCAGCAGAACCGACAATTCACACAAAAATACATAACTTGTTAAATACACGGTGGATTTACACCAATGGACGTTCGGTAGATAGCTGGAGTCTGAGCGCATCATTCGTGAGATTACCGCTCAGATCCCAGCTAAAATAACCGAACGCCGCACGAAAAACACATTTCTTTTAAAACATACGAAAAGGACCGATTGCTTTGAGTGAACACGATCCTAAAACTCCCGAACGTCCTGGAGGCTCAGCAGTGTTTGTGCCGTCGAATAGCTATTGGGAGTACTATGCGTTCGACGACCCGGCCTCGCTGAGGAACAAAGGATCCAAGATGGCCGACCGCCGCATGGTCGGTAGTCGAACGACGGCCACCCAGGAGACCCTCTAATAACCGATTGCACCAATGTTGCAATCGGTTAACTAGCGCCACACGCCTCTAAGTGTGTGGGCTATTAGGGGGTATCGCGTTCGGTTCCCGAACGGCTCTCTAAAGTGCCGTTCGGGAAACGAAAGAAAATCCCCATACAAAACCGCCATTTGCATTCGGCGGAAACAGCAATACAGGCAATGCAGAGAATACATTAAGTATACATAGAAGAGTAAAGCGCATATCTTCCCAGACCTATAGGCAACCCTTAAAGGCATAGTCTCTAGTTATAGTCCCAGTGGCTAGGTTTGCCACAATGCTCCCCCAGAACCAAGCCGGCATACACAGTCTGATCCCAACGGATCGGCTTGGGGATGTCCGGAGGAGTGCTCACAGATCATTTCTCAAGGTCTGTTTGTCTGGACAACCCGCCGGCGTTACCGTTCTGTTTCCCTGGGCGATAATGTATCGTAAAGTCAAAGGGCTGCAGCGCCAAACTCCAGCGCAACAGCCTGGCATTGTCTCCAGCCACACGGTTTAGCCACACCAACGGGTTGTGATCTGTGGGCAACGAAAAGGGTTGCCCGTAGAGATATGGCTGTAACTTTTTCAGGGCCCACACCATGGCCAGGCATTCTTTTTCTATGGCGGCGTAGCTCACTTCTCGGGGTAACAATTTCCGACTCAAGTATGCTACGGGGTGTTCTCCGCCATCGGCTCCGACCTGGCTCAGTACTGCTCCCAATCCAAACATTGAGGCGTCTGTGTGAACAAGAAAACGTTTAGTTGGATCAGGAGCAGCCAGTACAGGGGCATTGGTCAGAGCCGTCTTCAGTTGGTTGAATGCCTGTTCACACTCTGGGGCCCAGATGACCTGCCGGGGCAGGTTTTTCTTCGTCAGGTCAGTCAGGGGTTTGGCCAGGGCACTCTAATTGGGCACAAATTTTCTATAGTATCCTGCGGTACCCAAGAAAGCGAGAACTTGGGTTTTGGTCCTAGGGGTAGGCCACTGGGCTACCGCTTCAATCTTTGCGGGCTCAGGCTTCTGTTGCCCGCTCCCCACCCGGTGTCCTAAATATTGGATCTCTGCCATCCCTATGTGGCATTTGCTGGGCTTCAAGGTAAGCCCTGCCTCCCGGATCCGATCTATTACATCCCCTATATGTTGTAGGTGATCCGACCAGGTCTGACTGTAGATGGCAATATCATCCAGGTATGCACACGCATAGTCCTGGAACCCGTCCAGTAGCCGATCCACCATCCGCTGGAAGGTCGCGGGGGCGTTCTTCATCCCGAATGGCATGACTCGAAATTGGTACAAGCCAAACGGGGTGACAAACGACCAACTTGGGGATGGCGTCCTCGGCTAGTGGAATTTGCCAGTACCCCTTACAAAGATCTATTGTAGTGAGATACTGACCCCTGGCCATCCTACCAGCTCGTCTATCCGAGGCATCGGGTAGGCGTCCGACACGGTTTTGTCGTTCAACCTCCGGTAGTCCACGCAGAACCGAGTGGTACCGTCTTTCTTGGGAACCAGGACTACCGGTGATGCCCAGGGGCTGAGTGTTCGATAACCCCCAACTGCAACATCTCTTCAATTTCCTTCCTCATATGTTCCCGCACGGATTCAGGAATCCGATATGGGGTCTGTCACATGGGAAGCTGTCCCGGGGTTTCCACTCGGTGGGTGGCTAGTGGAGTGTACCCAGGTAAGTTAGAAAAGGTGGCACCCTTTGTCGCTATCAGTTCTTGTACCTAGATACGCTCTTGAGGACTTAGCCGCTCCCCCAGCTGAACCCCCTGGGAGGGCTCCTTCTGCTCCTCCTGCTCTAACAGATCCGGAAGGGGCAGGTTCTCCTGATCTTCGGAGGCGGGCGTGCAAATAGCTGCCACGTCCTCCGTTCGCTCGTGGTAGGGTTTGAGCATGTTCACATGGAGCATGCGTCTCTTCCCTACTCCGGAGCATGGGCCGATCACATAGGTGGTATCGCATCTCTGCTCTACCACCTGGTATGGGCCCTGCCAGACGGCCTGCAGTTTATCGGTGCGGACAGGTTTGAGGATTAACACCTTCTGTCCCACTTGAAAACTACGGTCTCTGGCCCCTCTGTCATACCAACGACGCTGCCGTTGTTGGGCGGCCTGGAGGTTGGTGCGCACTGCCTGGGTCAATTCCTCCAGGCGATCCCGGAACGCCAGCACGTATGGTACAATAGGGGTCCCATCTGCGTTACTCTCTCCCTCCCAATGCTCTCTAATGAGATTCAACGGTCCCCGGACCCTTCTCCCAAACAGCAGTTCAAATGGGGAGAAACCGGTAGACTCTTGGGGTACCTCTCTGTAAGCAAACAACAGATGGGGAAGGAATCGTTCCCAGTCCTTATGGGTCTCTCCGAATGTCCGGAGCATCTGTTTTAGGGTACCGTTTGTGACGAGACCAATCTCGCCACATTGCATTGGAGAAGCCTGGTTGCTCACCTGCTGCCTTTGGACTATGGCCCCCTTTTTAAAGACTTTATTTTTGCCTGCAGAAAAGCTGTATTCGTGCTTTTCTGCCTGGGGTTCAGTAGATTTGTTTGAATGTGTTATACCCCAGATGGGAATCCCATGGAGCCCATTCGTATGAAACTGACTGTAAAGACTTTGGCTCCATGGCGATTAAACTGTATTTGTGTGGTCCGAGCGCCATTCACTTAATAATGTGCGCTCAGACCTGAACTATCTGGGGATATGTGAAATGTCTGTGTGTTATGTGTAAAATGTAACTTTATGTATTTTAAAGTGTTTTACTGTCTTTGTGTCTTTTTGCAACCATGTGCTTAATGGAGTCTTGTGTCTGTCCTGGGAGATAATTGAATTACTTATCTCCAGGATAGAAGACTCAAACTGGTTTGGGCCAGAAAGCCATGCTTCATTTAGTCACAAAGGACTTTTTACTAACTTTTGAACCCCTTGTCTGATTTGTGCCATTTTTGAATATGTTGTTCCCCTGAATGGATGGATTGTGAATATGTAATTTTATGTGAATGTGATGTATGGTTTTGGAGTTATGAAAGTTGGGTAGAAAGTATGTTTTAACTGTATGTATAATTGAGTTTCCTCTCAGGATAAGGGGAGAATATGTGGGGGTGCTGGCAGGTGGTTGGTTTGTTTTATACCTCCTGTGAAGCGGTCCTGTATTTGAAAAGACTGTAGTAAAAACCAGGCTGGGTGTGCCAGCACCTCAGACCACTGTTTGACCCTCAACATGGAGCCTTGTCTCGTTCTTGGGGGGATTCACTGTATGCTGTTAGAGACTGATTGCCAGGAGTGTAAGCTGATTGTCTGCTTTTCCTGTTCGTCTGCTAGCAGCTATTTGGGAGGTTCCAGTTCGGGAGTTGGAGTGCTATTTTGTATCCAGTTTGGGAGTTTGATGTTCTGCAGTAGCTGTGCCTGTATCTCTGGAAAGGGGGCTGATCGCCTAAGCGGTTTTTACCCCTTGTGTGCAAAACGGTCCGTTACAATTGGTGGCTTAGCGGGATGGTTCCTACAGCCAGAAGGACAGCTACAGGGAACTACATTTCTTTGGATTTACAAGTTAAGGGCAACGCATGTCCCAGTACAGCGACCCTGACAGCACCAGGATGGAACCAGCAGTGGCGTACAGATACTCTATGAGAGAGTATGACCGTATGATGTGGTTGCGGCTGAACTTCTTTGGACCAAATCCAGCTGAGAAATACGTGCAGTCCATGAGAAACCTAGTGTTCATGAATCTGCAACACCGGGCAGAAAGAGAAGGTCAGCTGGCACGTTGGGAGGAACTCCAGCGACAGGTACTGCAGGGAATTGGGAGCCCAGTCTCCATTCCCCAGCAGCAGTGTGATATGCAGGGAATTGGGAGCCCAGTCTCCATTCCCCAGCGGCAGTGTGATATGCAGGGAATTGGGAGCCCAGTCTCCATTCCCCAGCGGCAGTGTGATATGCGGGGAATTGGGAGCCCAGTCTCCATTCCCCAGCGGCAGTGTAAAGTGCAGGGAGAGGAGAGCAGCGTCCTCCCTCCCCAGCGGCAGGCTGAGTTACAGGGGCCAGAGGTAGTTGTTCCTGCCCCCCAGCAGCAGAGTGATATGCCGGGAAGGCAGTGTGAAGTGCAGGGAGAAGAGAGCAGCGTCCTCCCTCCCCAGCGACAGGCTGAGTTACAGGGGGCAGAGGTAGTTGTTCCTGCCCCACAGCAGCCAAGTGATATGCCGGGAAGGCAGTGTGAAGTCCAGGGAGAGGAGAGCAGTGTCCTCCCTCCCCAGCGGCAGCGTGATTTTTTGGGAATTGGGAGCCCAGTCTCCATTCCCCAGCGGCAGTGTGATGTGCCGGGAATTGGGAGCCCAGTCTCCATTCCCCAGCGGCAGTGTGATGTGCCAGGAATAGGGAGCCCAGTCTCCATTCCCCAGCGGCAGTGTTATTGGTTGGGAATTGGGAGCCCAGTCTCCAGTCCCCAGCGGCAGAGTATCCAGCAGGGAATAGAGAGCCCAGTCTCCTTTCCCCAGCAGCAGGACACTGTATTGGGAGCGGAGACAGTCGGTCTCCCTCCACAGAGGATGAAAGTATGTATGGGAGAGGAGCTTGCTACCACCTCTCCCCAGCAGCGGATCATTAATGGGCAGGGAATAGAGAGCTCAGTCTCCTTTCCCCAGCGGCAGAGTGTTCTATCGGGAGAGGAGCCTGTTACCCCCTCTCCCCAGCGACAGCTTAGAGTATCCAAAGGGGAGACAGTCGGTCTCCCCCTCCGGCAGCAGAGCTGTGCAACAAAAGGGGAGACAGTCGGTCTCCAGCAGCAGAGCGGTGTAGTTAAAGGGGAGACAGTCGGTCTCCCCCTCCAACAACCAGGCTTCAACCAGGCTACCCTCCCAGTAGCGCTGGCAACAGGGCAGAGTGCCGCTGGTCTCTGCCCACGCAGCAACCCACCCAGTCAGTGTACCCGTACCCAGCACAGCTGTGGTGAGGCACCTGGACATGGACAAGCTTCTCCTTTACCCAGGTGTAGTAACCATTTATTGTGGGTGGGCTGTGCTGTTGATTATGTTTTGTGGGTGGGCTGCTGGACTAACAAGGGCACTGACCGGCAGGAGGTCAGATACCCTGTTAGTCTGTTTGGAAAAGGGGAGAGATGTGACGAGACCAATCTCGCCACATTGCATTGGAGAAGCCTGGTTGCTCGCCTGCTGCCTTTGGACTATGGCCCCCTTTTAAAAGACTTTATTTTTGCCTGCAGAAAAGCTGTATTCGTGCTTTTCTGCCTGGGTTTCAGTAGATTTGTTTGAATGTGTTATACCCCAGATGGGAATCCCATGGAGCCCATTCGTATGAAACTGACTGTAAAGACTTTGGCTCCATGGTGATTAAACTGTATTTGTGTGGTCCGAGCGCCATTCACTTAATAATGTGCGCTCAGACCTGAGCTATCTGGGGATATGTGAAATGTCTGTGTTTTATGTATAAATGTGACTTTATGTATTTTAAAGTGTTTTGTGTCTTTTTGCAACCATGTGCTTAATGGAGTCTTGTGTCTGTCCTGGGAGATAATTGAATTACTTATCTCCAGGATAGAAGACTCTGAAACTGGTTTGGGCCAGAAAGCCATGCTTCATTTAGTCACAAAGGACTTTTTACTAACTTTTGAACCCCTTGTCTGATTTGTGCCATTTTTGAATATGTTGTTCCCCTGAATGGATTGATTGAGAATATGTAATTTTATGTGAATGTGATGTATGGTTTTGGAGTTATGAAAGTTGGGTAGAAAGTATGTTTTAACTGTTTGTATAATTGAGTTTCCTCTCAGGATAAGGGGAGGGAATATGTGGGATGTAACTGTGATATGATTGGTTGTTTTATCCCTCCCTGTGGGTGGTCCTGTATTTGAAACACTGTAATAAAAACCAGGCTGGGTGTGCCAGCACCTCAGACCACTGCTTGACCCTCAACACAGAGCCTTGTCTCATTCTTGGGGGGATTCACTGTATGCTGTTGGAGACTGATTGCCAGGAGTGTAAGCCGCTTGGGAGCTTTTCCTGTTCGTCTGCTGGCAGCTATTCGTGAGGTTCCAGTTCGGGAGTTGGAGTGCTATTTTGTATCCAGTTTGGGAGTTTGGTGTTCTGCAGTAGCTGTGCCTGTATCTCTGGAAAGGGGGCTGATCGCCTAAACGGTTTTTACCCCTTGTGTGCAAAACGGTCCGTTACATTTAGTGCCTCTATGCAGAAAATGGAGACACCAACCCAGGAAGTACCTACAGTGGCTGTCTGAGTGATATGAGCACTGCTTTTTCTCTGAAAAGACGGTGTTTACATAAAAATGCTTGCAAGGACTGACTATATTTACCAGAACAACTACATTAAACTGCAGTAGGATTCTTTCTACCCATTACACTAATATCCCAACACTAGGGATGTGTGTGGACAAAAAAATTGGTTTGGTTCGGTTTGGAAATTCGGGTAAGTAAAAAAAATTGTCTGCTTCAGCAATTAGGACCAATGGCATTCATTTCAGTTCGGCATTTCAGAAATTCGGGACTTCGGCAATTCAGCAATTTGGAACTTCGGCAATTTTGAACTTCGGTAATTCGGACCCTACCCCTAACCCTTACCCAAGCCTATCCCTATCCCCCAAACCCTAACCCCTAAACCCTAACCCTATCCTCTAACCCTAAACCCAAACCCTAAACCCTAGCCCTAACCCATTTCGGAAATTCAGAACTTCGGCAATCGCTACTTCGTCAATTGTCTACCCAAAACCCATACCTGAAAATGAGAGAAATCTCAATGTATCCTTCCTGGTAAAATATTTTATGAATAAATAAATGAATATCTGCTTAAAATCCCCAATGTAACCATCACATAGCTTTTATTTTAGTCTATTACACACCCTGCACCCTTCTCTTGGCTTACCTATCACTTCTGTTTCAGGTTGCAAGCAGGTGGGAAGATCCTCAAAACCTACTGTATTAGTCTATGTCTCTCTGTCAGAAAGTTTTGGTTATTATACCATTTACTCATTGGATCTTGCACTATCGAATATGTATGTAAATAACTGATACACACCTATACCTATGACTAGAAATTAGTTTTGAAAATTTTCCCTTATTACACAGGTACGGTTAATATTCATGACGGTGTGAAAGCACAAACCTTTTGGATGAACAATTCCTCTGCACGCCGACGGTTCTTATCGGCCAGGGCTTCATAGTCTGCCCTCATATCATTGAGAATCTTTGTCAGGTCCACACCAGGAGCCACGTCCATCTCAACATTCACTTGTCCAGCAGCACTTTGATTAAGGACAGCAACTTCCTTAGAGATCATAAACAATATAATACTTAACATTGTGACATAAGTCTGTACTCACCTTGTGATGTTACTAGCTATAAACACAGAACCAAATAGAAAGAATAACAAGTAGTTTGTTTATAATATTAGTCCATGCATGTTACAGGGCTGGCCCCATTCATGACTTAGAGACTAATAAACTGCCAGCAGGTAGGTTCAGAGTGGACATACGGCCTGACCTCAGGAGGACTGACATATTTTTTAGCTGTACAGTAGATAAGATATAGCTCTCATACAAACATCATGCCTATTACTGTTTTATTGTTGAAAGGCTATGTGAGACATTAATTTAGAGTTTGTGATACTGTGTATTTTATTGTCATGAATCTCTATGCTACACTCATATACACTGCTCATTACTGTGAGTCCAGTAGGTCATCTCTCCAGCTCTATCTAGATGGGCCGAATGGTTCTTATCTGCCGTCACATTCTATGTTTCTATAAGATAAGGCCAAGGACTAATGAGAGTATTTAGAGAATTGGGCAAACTAGATGGGCCGAATGGTTCTTATCTGCCGTCACATTCTATGTTTTTTTTCTTCCTCATTCCCCAATTTCCCTTCTTTCTCTCTCCTCAGTCCCATTCCCCTCTCTCCTCAATTTAGTCTCTCTATCCTCAGGCTAATCCCTGTCTCCTCAGCCTCACCTCTCTTGCCCTATCTTTCTTTCCCCCATTCCAAGCACCAGCCCCATCCCTTTCTCTCTCAATCCCTGTCTTTCCTCCCTCTCTTGCCCAGTTTTGTTCTGTCAATTCCCACATATTACAGCCCCCTGCATACTCAAAAAGTATTCCCTTTATCCCAATGTCCTAGTACTGCTTCTATTTAAAAGCTTTATCATTCTTCGCTTACGTACCAACAAAGAGCATCTCTAACGTGGGTTAATGTATGTGGATGGTTACTGAGGTAGCAGGTGGGCTTAAAACGTCAATTCTCCTATTG